CTGGGAAGTGGGGAGAGAGAAAGGAGAAAAGAGTATGTTAAAAGTGGCTAGTCTTTCTACATTCAGTATTCAATTAGGTTTCAACAAAGAAAGAGGCACTCTCCATTGCTGTTCTGAGTTGCAAGTGTTTTTAGAAACCCTCATTAAAATTTCCAGTGCTTTCGGATGGGAAAAAAAAAAAAAAAGCGGAGGTTAGGTAGCAGAATCCCAACTTTACTTTTTTTTTTTTTTTTTTTAAAGTCTGCTCTACTCTCTTTGGGAAACTATTTCCACCCCTCACTGAGTCCCTCTCCTTTATGCTAATGAACTTGTCAATCAAGTGATCCATCTGAGAAAGTATTTCTAAGTAAGGCTCCACCCATGTTTTTCCACTGTTGGACAGGCAAGATCTAGTGAGGATAACAAATCAATTTTCCTATTATTTCTCTTGGTTACAACCAGACAATAAACATGGGGGTTGCATCAGCATTATAACTTTTTTAAAAAGTAAAAAAAAAAAAAAGTGGGAGTAAATGGGGGGGAAATTTTTGTAAATGGAAAAAATGAAATTATATCACTAAAGTATAAGTCAGGAAAAGAGGATTCTTGAGAAACACATAAATATAAAAATTCCAGTGGGAAACTGACATTAAATATGAAGGATGCAAAAGTAATAATATGATGAACAAAATTTTGCAACCTTACAAGTCACAGTAGATACAAAATTTAAGCAAAAGGGTCTCTGACCTTCTTAACCTTAGCCCAGTTTAGATCCACCCCCAGAACTCCCTTCCTGACTAGTGTGAATGTAATTAAGGGGAAGCTGCAGTGGTAATTTCTCTCCTCATTAACTTCCTGATTGGTTTCAGCCTCAGGATTCTGCCGGGCAGTAGTTTGTCACCAATTCCAAATGGCCAATCGTTAATACTAATGTTTGTGTAACTAACTGCCAGCATCTGCCACGGCTTCTTGTACAACAATAATGGTGAAAGGGTACATTAGTGCTCCTGTGTTAATTCAGCTTGTGTTCATCAATAGGGAAATCTATGATGTAATTAGCAAAATGCATTGGGAGCTGAGTGCTGAAGTCATTTGTAGAGAACTAAATCATAGTAGAAGCTGTACTGGGTCCTGATGTGTTTGCCATCAATACTTATTATGTTTGGAATTTAATAAGGTATATTACCAGGCTGAAAAGAGACCTTTTTACAAGAGAACACCATTTATGCTTGTTACGGGTTTGGAAAAGGTTTGCTGCCGCTAGTAGAATCACACAGAAATAAAAGAGAGCTACGATTTAAGAAATGGACCTTTGCACCAAATTATTCCCAAACGCTCCCTCTCTCCAGTATGAAAGACAGATGATAGTTTTGTATAGTTACCTCAGTATCCAATGAGGAAAGGGGTGATCTGAAAACTTAGTACGATAATAAATTTGAAAAGTAACTTAGGCAATTTCCTGAAAAGCAATCTCTTTTGTATTGAGGGTATCTGTGTAGTCTTTAGTAACTTAAATAAAAAGCAAAAGGTGCTTTAAAAGGGGGGAAATAATCATAAATAGTATTTTACAGATGTCAAAAAATGCATGTACATATGTAAATATAGTACCAGCAACCAAAAGCTGGGAACCTGAACTCTTTATTGCAGTGCAGAACAGCTTCTTACAAAATCTGATTTGTTATATGGATCTTAAACCCCCTGCAAATTCAAGGTGATTTATGAATTGTGTGTACATGCAACTGATTGTTAAATAAATACACAGCAAATATGTTTTCCAAAAGTAGTAGACTCTGCTCTGAGATCTTGCTACTATACATATCTGGAGAGCCCAGTGGAGAGTCTGTGAGTTAAGCTGCTGACTCCCATCCCAATCCAACCACTGACAGGGTCTTCTCTGCATACAGGCCATGCATGGGGAAGGAAGTTACATTACTGACTACTCTCTGCATGCCACATACTTTAATGAGGGATTTCACCCTCGAAGCACTCAGAGAATTATTCTCCCCATTTTTATATAGGGATCCTGACTCTCTGGCATGCCCTTGTCCCTGCAGCATTCTACCCTTGGGCACCATGCTTTGGGAACTGGCCACTGAACCCTCCCAACCCTTGTGTGAGTTTAAGGGAACTCTGTCAGACCGATTTGGAGACTCCACAGGAATAAGTGTTCTTCCAACATGTTCTAAGTCCTGGGATTGGTAAGCCTTCAGTTAGAATCTGATGGAGAAGATGCCCCCACCCTCCTCATTTAGCCAATTTGGGACTGAAATGAGGAGGGATGAGAATTTTACAAAAGAAAGGAATCTGGAGATAGTTCAGTTTTACTCTCACTTGCCTTGTGGGTATTTTCTTGGAAAGTGGCTTGGGGCTACAGAGACACATGCAGATGTGTCACCTGCATACAGCAGGAAGGCTCCCAGCATACTTAACGCATGACTGCACTCCAGAGAAGATGTAAATAAAGAACTTAACCTGTTTTGAAAAGCACCTGCATTTTTTAAAGTGTTTCTCCACTCAGAATTTTAATCCATGTTATTTCTATGTTTGTTCAAGGCTTAGTATTGTCTTTGAATAGGCTGCTGAAGTTAGGGATAGTATCTGTTTTAACTCATTTTGTATAGCACCTCGTAAAAGTTCCAAATGCCTACAAAGATTTAGTGCTAAAGGTAACCTGCCCATTTTAATGCAACTTAAACTATTTTGGGGGCAAGAGTAACAACTGTCTGTTGTAAATTATTTTATACCAATCAGAAATTCAAAAACTCAAAATGATTTTATTTTTGCTTTTTTAAAGGTTGACTATTGGATAATATAGGGGGCTAATTTCAACTCAAAAGGTTTGTCTTAATTATTTTGTAAAAATGCTACTAACTCCTAGTGTCGGTGGCAATGTTGGGGAAAGATAATACTGCTAGTAGTTCAATCTTTCTGGACAGCAATCTACTGACATGTAATAAAAGCTGTAAAACTGTTCAGCCCCTCTGACCTAGTAATTCCACTCTGGGGAATAACCCCAAAGAAATAAAGAAAGAAAAATTAGCCCAGAGATGCTCAACACACCACTGTTTGCATGGATGAAGATGTTTGTGCGTTGTTCTTGTGCTTTGGGGGGGAGGAAAAAGGGGGCAGTTGCATTGGAGGAGGGTGCAGGAAGCATTCACAGGCAATAACCAATTAAGGATTATGCTAACCTATAATCACTGCTAGCCTCCTGGCATTTACAGAAATGGAAGAAATGACTTTTGGAGAGCAGAGTGGAGATTGACAAGTAAAGAAAAAGTAAAAAGGAAAACTTAACCATCTGATCTTTTTTTGTGTTACAATAAAAGGTGGGTAAACCAAATAGGCTGACCCTTGTTTGAACCAAGCAAGTCTAGTATCTGTTTTTCTCAAGTACCCTATTTGTCCACAGCAGCTAAAGGGCCATTCTTTTATTATTTAAAAACAAACGTTGAAAACTCCTTACCAATCATTCTCACTAATGTGGGGGTGATACTTAAGATGATTTGGTGATGCCGTCTGAACATTTTGGAAATTTTGGGAAAATATTACATATTACCAAAGAAGGAAAAAAAAAAGAAACCTTCAAAAAAAATAAACAAAACCACTCCAACTGCTCAATCTTTTGACATTGCAAAGACCCCTGACTTTTAACTTGAATGATCTGTTGGAAGTCAATGGGCTGGAACGAATAATTCTCTTCTAGTGATGTGGGAAAACACGATAGATATTCATGCTTGAAAAAAAAAAACCATGTTCTTCTATATGTTAAATACTATTAAACTCCTACCAAGAAGCCATTTAAAAATAAAATGCCAAGAGGAATTCTCCAGTGGTTAGCAACTCTGCAGCTGGCTGCTGGCTGCCAAGGAAGACAGACTTAGTGTGCTGGTCTCTTTGGCTTAGTAGGTTGTAGGCTTAAGAAAGTCTGATAGAAAGCTGCTCAAAATTTCTTAAACAAATTCTTCCGCTTCACCGTAACCATAGTGTTTGGAAATAAAATCATGCCCAATCAATACCACTTAGCAGATATTTAATGTTTCACAATAGAACACTTTTCCACAGAGGAACTGCTGCCCTTCTCACTAACATTTAAAATAATTAGGATTATCCCAGCTGCTGGAGCTTGGCAGGTTCAGTTTGTACTTTCAAACAGCATTAATTCTTGGCATCAGAACAAGGGATAAAAGGTAAAGATATGAATGGAGATCTTTATTCCACCTGATCTATCATGGATTAGCTCATTCTTTTCCAGTTCATGCCTGCACTCTAGTTAGGAGGAAGGCTGAGCTGTAACCGATGTAATTAGAAACCACAAGCTGAGAAAAAAATAGCCCTTTATTAATCTTTCCTATTTACTATAAATTTACTAAAAACGTAATCATCTTTGAAACAATTAAATGTGTTTTTCATCTTAAGTGGAACTGAAGTGTAGAGACGAGGGAGAGGCTCTATTGGATAATGTTCTCCTTAAAACCATATCTGAATTGTCAGTTAAAAAATCCAACACCAGTTTCATAAGGGGCCAGCACTTTTCAAAATGCACTTGGTGTTTTGAAAAGTGAAGCAGCCAAGCCACAGTAAATGAGTTTCTACAGATGGAATTGGATAAATCATCAGTGCTTCCTTGTTGATAAAAATATCATAAGCTTTGCAAGCACTGGAAAAATACCATATTTTAAAAGCTAGGTGAACTCAGGAATATATATTTATGCAACACTGACCATACCTCTTTCCCTCTAGATTTCATGTTACAATGAACATGCATACACCAGTCACAAAATAATAGCAGAACAACTTTTTAATTCTCCAAATAAAGAGGCCTATCAGTACCCTTGTGCAGCACATCGGGAGAGCACTGTCCTGAGAGTCTGTGGATATGGGCTCACAGCCAGGCCCTACTCTGTGCTTACTTACCAGCTTTTCTGATGCTTCAGAAGCTAAGGGATAACACACATATTCTCTTACCCACCTCTGGAGTTTCACTGACACACCAAGGGAAGAAACCTTTTTTTTTTTTT